TTGTTGTTGTTGTTGTTGTTGTTGTTGTTGTTATTCGTCCTTAAACCCCTGCCGAGAAGACTTGTGGCGTAAGCCTTCTCTCTACTCACTATGATGACGCCGAATCCTTAACCTTTCGGGGCTATCTTTAAGTCGCGATGCTTTCAATTTGGTTTCTGTCTGGACAACGACCTCCGGATCGAAATCTTGGTACGCTTGTCTTGTCTCTCTTGACTTGGGTGGGGGCGCTTCCCGCTTCGTGAAATGGGATGGACAAGTTTGTCGATAGTAGAGAATATGCAAAGCGAAGCTGCTCGAGTTAAGTCCTTTTCCATGTCTGACGCACCGCACACATCTCCACACACACATATATATATATATGCACAACTGGGAAGGTTCATTGCCCCCTTCCCTGTCTTGTAACATACTCTCGGACATTAACTCGGAAAACCGTCTCGCGATTTTCTACTCTTTTCGTCAAGGTGCAGATCGCCTCATACGACAACACTTGTTACCTACATGCATCAGAGCGATCCGGACTCGACGGATTTAAGCTTATGTACGTAGGGGAGAATGGGCCTTTATAAGTGGGCGGCATTGGCCCGCAAGCCAAGCCAGGAAATTCGGACGAGCCGATATTGCTTCTTCTCGCCTAGTGCGCCTGAACATGGTTTCTAAGGGCCCTGGGGTACGTACGAGGGATGGTGTTGTCATTTGGCCGATTCGGAACCAAAGGAGCCCGGGTTGCGAACGTATTAAGAACACATATTGAAGTAGGAGCATTGAGAACCGTCTGTCTACCTGTCCGTGCAGGAATAACGCAATGATGTTCGCGCCTGGACATTTCGTATTCTGGGGAACTTAGGCTAATTTCAACACCTCAACACGATTGCTGCAACTGTTATCGTAGCTTGCCTGAACTAGACCCACCGTCAAAGCATCGTAATTGAACAGCAGGTACGCTCAGCATCCAAAAATAGTAGAGGATATATTTACGATGTTGCTCGAGAAACTTGATGGCGGAAGAGCAACAGGGGATCATCTTTCATATTTATTTACCTACCAGTTCAATCGTCACGACCTTGGGCCCATGGCGGAGCAAAATATCATGGAAGCTTGTGAATTTCCCGCCGTCGTGAGGCTGAGGGCTGAACAACCGCCCATACACGAGTCAAGCAGCGCTTCTCGTTGGCTTCACATAACTGGTTCCGGGCTGTACAAATACGAAGTCGGGTTGATGGTTGGGGTAGCAGAGAGTGAGGCCGCTAGTATTCGTGATCTTGTGTATATTTGGTGAGGGAGGGCATGATGTTGACCACTTATCCATTCCGAAGCTGTCACGAGGAGAGCGGCCAAGTCCCAAGGACGGGGAGGAAATACAAACCGGCTCGCTTACAAACAAGAAGGAATGATTGAAGTTGGAAAAGCGGAAGTCTCCTGAGAAATCGGATCCCCGCTGCTCGGTGCCAAGTATGCCAAGGGCTTGGGATATCTTGGCACTAGGCTTGCCTCTGAAGCTTCTAATTGCTTGTTGCCGAATCTTGTTTTCCGCTAGTGCAATAACAGCACGATGGCATGACATCCTTCATGACTTTGTACGGGCGTCCTGAGAACCTAATCTACTGGAATTTTGTGAAGTATCCTTCAAGAGTGGCTGCTGCACTGTTGGAATCACCTGGGCCCTAGGAAAGCGCCTTCGTTGATCCTGAACGAGGTCCAAAGTTGAGAATGAAGTCTGAAATGTGATGCGTGGGTGTAAACTTGATCGAGGAAATTCCTCGAGTGTCTCTCATGATGATGTAAACCCGCCTAAATTTCTGCATGCCATCCCTTTCTGTGGTATATCCTCCGCTGGCAAAATGCGACCTTGAAAGATTCATTGAACGATAGGACAAAATAAAATAGACAAAGCGCCGCCCAATGCAATTTTCCCGGTAGCTCCTCGCTAGACGGTGGTTCCTTCTCCATGATGCCATAAAATACAGTACACATGAGTGTGGACATTAGCTAATTGCAACGACTCGCTTCTCCAGTCAGCACAGCTTTACGCGCTGAAGTTAATCGCTCTCTTGCTCGACGCAGCGCCGCATGATGGCGCGGCGCTGGCCGTGACTGGAAGGCCAACAAGGTTCTTGAAACTGTCCGAGACAGTTGCTCCGTTGGAGTTCGTGGTCACATCGTATTTGGTGAAGTTTGCACCGGCAGCGGGCACGCTAAAAGTGGCGGAATAGAAGGTGTAGTACTGGCCAGCACACACGTTTGTCATGGGCGTGGGAACTGTGCTGACTGTCGGCAGGTTGTTGTACGTGATTGGGTTGATGAGATCAACGGAGAGGGTGACTGGGTCGGAGGTTTCACCGGTACGCACAGCTGCGAAGACAGTCAATTGCTGGTTGCCGGAGCCGTCCGTCGCAGCGAGAGAAGAGTAGGAGGTTTGTGCGAAGATCTTGTCCGAGATCGGGTAACCTTGGCCGTTGTTGTCGAAAGTTTGCGTTGAGCCGCTGGTTAGGGTGACCACAACGGTGAAAGACGAAATCGAGATAATGGCTGGGATTGTGCCCTCAAAGCCGTAGAACTGGGAAGCCTGTTAGTATCGACTAAGTTCAGACAGAGCGAATTACCTACCGTAAACGTGTCGTCGAAACCATTAGCATCGCCCAGAGCAAGAGCAGCAATGGTGTACGCATTATTTGATGTTCCAGTCCTGTCCTTGTAGACCACCTGAACGCTGGCGATGGAGGATGAAGGCAAGCTGTTGGTGTGAATGCGGAGCTCTCCGGTGAACTCAAGATTTTGTCCATCAGCAGCCACATTGAGCTGAAGATTTGAAGGTTTGAGGTCATAGGGAACAATGACATCGGACAATTGTACACCAGCTGGGACAGTATTGACCATCCTTGCAAGGATTCCAGAGCAGGTGCTGGCATAAGCATTGGGATCGGCCAATGCTGACACCGTCTGCCTGTTGTTCAACCCGAATATACGGCCATCAGAGTAAGCAGCGGGATTTGCACCGACAACAAGAGGATTTTTGGTGGTACCGTCGAGGTACTCAGTGACAACAGCGTTGTCGAAAGTAGCGTTGGTATGGTCCAAATCTTGAACACCTAGCGGGGTGCTGTACGGAGGTACGATGTCAGGATGCTCAGCTGAATGGACGCCGCCAATACTGTGACCGCAAGCAACCATTGCAACCATCTCTTCGGGGCTGAAGCCCATGCGGCGAAATTCGCCAATCATCTTCGGCATCGGGTCGGTAGGCTCAGGGACACCAACGGGACCAGGACCTGTAGCGTCAACTCGTCCGGCTCGCACTGGGACAGTCGGGCCTCCGCATGCTCTCACTGCCTGGTAGAGCCCGACGTTGACTAGATCAGCCATGGGTGCTCGGCTGTTGAAAAACCGAGAATAAAAGTGCATAGTATTGTTGAAAGCAATGCCGGTGTTGGCCGGATAGATGTTCGAGTCCAATTCAAACCCGATCGACGCATCAACGCCTCCAATTCCGGTTGAAGCATCATGAGGAGCCATATCGTGAAATGCTGTTCTGATGAGACCAGCAGCGATTGAGTGTCCAGGTTCTTTGACAATGGTGCAAGGTTGTAGGAGAATGGGAAACTCTCTGGCGTTGTAGCCATTGTTCAGGAACATGATATCTTCGATCTCGTCATAGGCTGAAGGCCATGTTAGGCCTGCTGAGATCCCTTTGATGAAGGAGGCAAGGCCCAATGCCAAGAGCCCAATGTTATTGGTCCTCCGCATGTCGACAAGGAAGCTGTTTTTCTGTATTCTTTGCCAGGGAAAAGTCGAAATTTGGAAACGGAGTATTTGAACAGAAATGGGAGGTGGACCAAAAAGGCGAAGATAGGCCATTGAAATATATCTAGACAGAGGACAAGGCCAGGACTCACCGTGTGTTTGATTTGGAGAACATAAGCAAGAAGGCTGAGGGATTGAGAATAGGATTCGTTGGCGGGAGAAAGGCGCTTGAAGGGAGGCTGGCGCTCGTAAAATTTAATTTGGGAAGTAATATTGTCAGAAGAGCACCTTGGCTCAAGGGCCTAGTTCCATGATTCAGGTCACTCCACATCGCTCGGACAGCAAATTCTCTGCATTGGCATATCTCATGCGGATGAATTGACAATTAGCCCGACCAGGCACTCGCGTTGCATTTCCAATTACCCGAGCGAGACATCTTCCCTCCCTCGGACTTGGGCGAATCCGTCAGAGACTCGAGCATACAGTGGAGCTGGTGCTGGCCGAAGCTGGAGGGAGGGAGACAGTGCGGAGCCCCCGATGCTGTCCATGGTCGGATTGACGAAGCCGAACAAATGTGCTCAACAAAAGAACGGAACCCTTTGCTAGACCGGGTGTATGAGTCTCAGTCGATAGCGAATGCGCTGTACCGGGCTCGGGGAGATGGAAGCATCCGCCCCGAAAAGAAACATACCAGGAGACAAGGTACCGTAATACTATATCTGACAAGCGCACCACAGGATCCGATATCTCATAGGCCTCCATCAGCATTCCGATAGCGCGGCAGGCTTGGAACTTGCGAACCGGTACCTGAAAACAGAGTCGCGAATCTTGCTCGATACCTTAGCGCAATCTGCTCACTCTCTCTCAAGTCGGAGAATCGGGCAGTGAAAGTAAGCTGACGGCTGAAAGAAGTAACGGTCACAGCGCGATGCATGACTTCTCAGCTTCAGCATGTTCAGCCGTCGGCTTTCATCGGCGAAACCCTTCTCTTTGCTGCTACGCAGCAGAGTGGCGGCTCATGGCCTGTGGTTACTCGAGGATAGGCAGTGAATTATTAAATGTGCAAGCTGGCAGTTGACGACGAAGGTGTGGAAGGAAGATGATGCCCAGAACGGTAAGGCGCAATGCCAATTCCTGCTTTCCCTTTTCCGTGCTAGTGCCATATATTTCACTAGCCGCTTTTGCTCTAGACTTACCCAACCCACGAGGTCTAAGCATTGCATTTTCACCCCATCTTCCATCCTCATTCAGAATAGTCAGAGCTACTATCAGGGCGGCGAAGTGTTTTGAGATCCAAGACCCTGTCTGGCGAGTTTAGGAGATGGGCCAAAGCAAGGAGCCTGATACCCGCCCTGCCTCAACAACAAACACACCGACGAGTGGTTCAAAGCGGCGTAAAATATCACATCCACAGCCAGGGAGCCATACTCAGGTTCATCGCCGGGTGCAAGGCAAGGGGACGACCTCGCGAGGCAAACGCCGGGGTTCTCATCCGCCACGAGAGATCCGTCAACAGAACGGCCTGACAAAATCTGGCTCCGATGCCTCCACCCTCCGGGAAACATCAAATGGGGAGTCCAAGTTCCCGCTGTCATTCGCGAAATCCATCCTTGACAAGATCTGGATCCGCAACAAGAACCAGCACCGTACCCAACCGTGGTGGAAATCCCTCTCCATGTTGAGGAAAGCAGTCTCCCAGCTTGTGCTAGTAGAGCAAGAGGACCTCTTTCTCCAGGGTCTAATTGGCGAGGGCCGCATGGACGCCAAGGTCGTGAGGGAGAGATTCGAGCGCGAAACACAACTCCGAAGGGAAAAAGAGATCTGGGTCGATTGGATCCGCCAAGTATTGGTGCCGAAGGCTTACCTTGGCTTCTCCGGACTAGTGAGCGATACTCAATTTGCAAACCTGGGAGTTGTGTTGATAGGGGTCCTTGCCGATGTGGCGAGTACTGTGGGTGTCCCAACCCCAAGCCGGCAAGAGGGAGCTGAGGAGGGAGGAATGGAGATTACGCCAACAAGAAGGGTCCGAACAGAGAGGGGGACCGTCAAAGCGAGAAGTCTGATGGGGACGAGTATCAGGGTCACAGGTCTGCAAAGCGGTGAGGTCGTGGAGAGAACGTACGACAGTGACGATTTGGGAGAAGTCGTCGAGAGAAAGGGAAGCGATCTCAAGGAAGAGCAGGCCGGGACCTCTCCACGGCCTGACAGAAATCCGGACCGAAATCCAGCTCCAACCGCGAAGGGAGACCAAGCAGTAGCGGCCGATGCGGCGACTGATGGCGTTGTGGGAAAGAACAAAGCTGCCAGCGTCAGAGTCATCGAGGAACGAAGACGAGAGAACCCAGCCTCAAGGACCGAGAGATCTACAACAAACTCGCCCTCGTCATTCCTTGCGACTCTCCAAAGAGATCCCACCGCCACATCCCAAGACTCCGACGGCGCTCATGCACCTTCTCCGCCGCCCCGCGTGCCCGAACCCACCGAAAATCTCATCCTCAAAGATGAGCCAAGGCCCAGCACAGGCACTGCGGGGACCGCTACAGGGAAGAAGAACAGCCAGAACGACGACGAAAGCAGGCCAACACCCAGACCCAACAGCAACAAGGTAAAAAGGAAACGGAAAGGAAAGAATGCCATCGATGATTTATTCGCGGGCTTGGCTTGATGTGGAATGAGTTGATTGATTGATTGATGACCGCCGAGGCACGATCAGTGACTACGCACCAGCGTGCCACCAGCACCGAGGATCCGTCAACAGCAATGCGAATAGCACCAATGCTATTTAAGAATCGAATTTATTGAAAAAGAAAAAAAAAATTTCCTACTCTCAACGCTACAGCTGATTATATATCTCTTGCATTGAAAAAGAACCCCCTTTCTTTACCCTTCCCAAAGCAAATCTTTCAACTGGTAGGGGAACATAAAAGTCCTTGGGGGTATCATGTTTGTTCGCTTTTCGATTCCCAGCTTTGAAAGATTCGCATTAGCCCGTGGCCCTGCCCCTTCATCACCAAATTGAACGCCATCCGTTGAATGACAGACACCAACCAATGCTGTGCTCTGTGATCATGGACCCGTGCTTGTCTAGTTCCGTTCCAGTCAATCCCACCGCGCCGTTCGCTATGCAAATGCAAGAACACATCCCTCCTCGTCTTCTTCTTCGTCTTTGACCCATTCGATCCAAGACCCTCATTTCCATTGTCAATGTTGGGAATGCACGCTCTCTAGGCACCAGTAGTAATCAGCAAGGGCGCGCCTCCTCCCATTGCCTACGCTAGCACCACCATATCCTGAGTCTCGTCGTTCCTATCGACGATAAGGATCCTGTCCACCATATCCACCTCTGTCTCTATCCCGCTCTCTGTAATCCCTTCCAACTTCTCGGTCTCTATCTCTTCTATCCCGGTGCACCTCCCTGTCTCTTTCCCAGTCCCGAATTGGACTTCGACTCCTTGGCCTTCGCTCTCGGTCACGGTCTCTATCCGGTGCTTCTCTTCCACCAACTTCCTCATAGCGTACTGGCTCGCCATAATCAGGTGGCCCTTCTCGGTATGTTGGCCGATCGTCCCTGCGTCTATGCTTCGGTGGAGCCGCGTGAGGATCTGCATTCGAATATGGAGGAATATAGGTATCACGGTTGGCACCACCTGGAGGACCGCTGCCACCCCCACCCCCACCACCACCACTCGCGGACGGAGGTACTCGAGATCTTGGAGGAGGGTGACCACGACCGTCGTCACGGTAAGGTGGCACGTCTGGTGGACCGTAACGATGAGAGTCAATCTCTGCAGGCGGCAGGCGTGGTGGCGGTGCATGATCGGCAGGGGGTCGTCGTGGGTAGGAGTCATCATAAGGCGGACGATGGCCTTGATCGTACGGTGGCATATCTCGGTGAGGTGGATAAGGATTCGCACCACGGTAGTCACCCCCACCGACATATGCACCATTCTGGGGGGGTGGACCAGGTGGCCGTCGATTGTAGGGCTGACTGTTGTGGCCGTTCGCATACGGTGGTCTGCTACCAGGTATACGAGAACTAGGATGGGGACCGCCGCCACGCATACCTTCGTACGGTGGAAGCGGCCTCCCACTGATACCCCATTCTCCCTGCGGGCCAATACCTACAGAGCCGCCAGCTGGTGCAGGTGGCCGCTTGGTTCTCTGATCTCTGAATTTCTTTCGATCCAGTTCGTGCGACTCTTCAAATGAGGGCAAGTCTTCAGGCCTCGCTGGGTAAGGTGCGGAGTGGAAATAAGGATGTTTTAGGGCGTCGATAGCGTTGATCCGTTTTCGCCAATCCAGCTTCAAAAGCTCACTTAGGAGCGAGAGTGCCAGTGGCTCGAGGTCGCGGAATTGTCGATTGAGAGAGGAAGGCATTTGTTCGAACTCCAGAATAGCCTCAGCGCCAGGAAGTTGGCGCCAACCGGGCATGTTCTCTTCCGTAGGGGAGCCCAGCAGCTCGAAGATTAATCTGGCCTGGTTCAGATCACTGTCTCCAGTCAAGATGGGCTTGCGCTTGAACATTTCTCCAAAGACACAGCCAACCCCCCACATGTCGATAGCGGTGGTGTACTTGCGCAATTGGAGCAGCAGTTCTGGCGGACGATACCATCGAGTCACAACCAAAGTAGTGTATTCTCTTGTGGCTTCACCACCTCCTTGACCAGGTTTGGGAGGCTCATCGTCGTAGGGACGCGCCAGGCCGAAATCCGCAATTTGGAGAATCCCTCGGTTGTTGATGAGCAAGTTGGCAGTCTTCATATCTCGGTGTAGGATTCTGTTCTCGTGGAGGTATGCGCAGCCTTTGAGGAGTTGCTTCATATAACACTTGATTTGTGGCGTGGTGAAATTGACGTCTGGATTTTCCAGAAGGCCCGAGAGATCGTGGTCCATATATGGCGTCACCATGAACATGCTCGTTTTCTTGCTCGCATTCTTCGGTCGTTCGACGGCCATCTCTGCCAGCTTCAGGATGTTGATGTGATCGAGTTGCTTCAGTAGCTTGATCTCCCGCAGTGCGGTGATGGGGAAGCCATCCTTCTCATTGTGCATCAAGATCTTTTTCAACGCGACAATCTGACCCGTCCGCTTCGACCTGGCTTTGGACACTTCGCCAAAGGTACCCTCGCCGAGCTTGCCCAGGTATTCATATTCGGTAATTCTTGAGCACCCGTGAAAGCGGGGCCTGCCATCTTCAAGGAATTCGAGGCTCTTTCGAGGGTGTTTTGAGTCCGAGGACATCGCGACCACGTCTTCCACGACCCGGTTCAGTCGTCTGTAGCCAGATGCTGTCGGCGCGCACTGCAGCGCAAGGTGCGGCGGCGTCACCAGGCTGAAAAAGTGATCAGATGGAGACGTCCAAGTGAAAGCCTTCGCGCTTGTTTCTCGTGGGATTGATGGGGATGGGGGATTGCTATCGACAAGGCCGAGGCCAAAGAAGGTGAAGTTGTTTCGTCATCTAGTCGCAAAGAGGAACAGGTTGTCTCGCGCAACGCACGCAGGAGCGAAGGTGCGGAGGAGTGAATCTTCTGTGAAGTGAGAATGCGCCCGAAGGGACATGCGCAGGTGAAGACAATGTCAAGGACGAGTCAGGCGAGTCAAGCGAGTCGAGGATGTCCGATCTGTGCGGCTGGGGTAATTTGATCAAAACATGATCTCACAACAGCCGGCGAGATGAGGAGGGCACTGTAGTGATTTGGCACTACAATTGTTGCAATGCCGAACATGATTATTGGGCGGCAACTGAGACCCTGCAGATTCGAGCAGGATTGGCATGATCCTCACTTCATGCCCCAGACAGACTGGGCTTGACTGCACAACCGGTTGGCTCGCGCACTGCCTTTCCGGGTTCGGAAAAATTATTATTCCGGCAAGGCTGTGTCAAAAGGGCCAGTGAAGCCATACACAAATTCATTCCCGGCGAGGCAGAGGAGAGTAGCTTTGTACAGGCAGTCTTATTGTGACGTTTAATGGATAGACCGTAAATCCGATCACCTCGACTGCGGGTCTGAACATGCAAATCCGCTGCGGAACCACAATAGTGAACAGAAAGAAGAAGTATCAAGGCGAGACTGATACGCACCTTTTGGTGGGAGGCCTTAACATGTAGCATGTCTAGTCCAAACTTGACCGTTGAGATTGAAATCACTCCTTCAATTCTTCCACTTCAAGGTCTCGACGACAAGTGAATCCGCACCTATCCGTCTTCCAGCCATGATCGAAGGTAGTTGTCTCCGCGGCAACGTGAAATTCAATCTCGACATTGAATCTGATGTCGCCAATATGGTAGAGCTCCCCCTTACGTCCTCATCGGCTATAATACTCGAGAGATGTTTACCTTTTTGAAGCACAGCAAACGAAAACGTACCCCTGTCGTCCTTGTCGCAAAATCACAGGCGCAGTCACGTCTCTCAACCTGACTGTTCCTTCACCATCATTCAGCCTGACAAATGACACCTTGAATACGGTTAAAACGACACATTGCGACGAAGGGTTTGAGTTTTCACTAGCCTTTTGTCGGAAATGTGGGAAGTCCTGTTTACGCGGTGCCACAATGGGCGGGCGTGCAAGATATTCTGGTGATCCAGGTGGGCACGCTCGACGATGCCAACATGTTGCAGAGGGCGCCCGCGGTTGAGATGAACGTCAAGCATAGACTGGGGTGGGTGAAGGAGGTTGAAGGGGCCGAACAGAAAGAAAAAATATGTTTGATATTGTTTGTTTTGGAGTCTCAGGCAGGCGATTCATGCCCACTTCGCCCACCTTCGAGCTGTGTTAGATCCCATGGGTACTAGGTCAGATTGCCCATGCTTCGCTGCTTCCGAACTAGTCTTCCGTCAAGTCACCATATTCCCACATGCCCCTCCGGTCCTTCTTCGCTTCCTCCTGGAGCTCTCGAAACTTCGCCAAGGTGTCGGCGGATTGTCTTTCCCACGCCTTCAACTTGACGGGGACCATGGCTAATCCTTCCCGAACGACTTCCGCATTGATGCTCTCATCGATCTTATTGGACGACTTTGGGTCAAGCAGAGAAATATGCAATGTTCCTTCAGGAGAAATGTAATCCACATTCGCCACCAGCTCGCGGCCATCCGTCTGCTCCGCAACGAAATCCACGGTGTCTCGAAGGTACTGCTCGGAGGTGGGGAATTGCAGGAAGGACAGGACGGCATCCGTTGCTTGCGGCTTGAGCTTCTGGGTAGAGAATTGTGGTTGAGTCAAAGGTCGTAATCGAGTCCAAGGAATGGTCTCCGAGTTGCCGTAGTCAAGGTAGATCAAATCCACCTTTTTCCCGTCACGGTCGACTCTCCTTACTCTCGCTCGATACCACTGATCATCAAGTGTGAACTTGGCAGCAACGATATCTCCGACCTTGGGCGCTCCAGGCAATGGTTGATCGTTGGCCTTGTTCAGATGGAAAGATTTGAAGGCATTCATGAGCTCTGTCAAGGCAGCAGTTCCGGCCCCGATTTGCTGAACCTTGAGTTTTCCGGTCTCATCGACATGCGTCACCATCACATCTCGGTAGTCCTTTCTTCTCGAAGCCGCCTGAGCTCCCTCCCCATTTGTGGGCGCAGCATCGGCAGCAGGTCCAGCCTCGTCTTCATCTGCGTCCTTGCTTGGATCCCAATCATGCCACATGCCCTTTCGAGCTTCTTTCGCCTTCTTCTCGGCCGCAAACAGCTCATTTGCATGACCGCTCTTTTCGGCCGAATACGCATGAACTTCTGCAAGGCCTTCCTCTAACAGAGCCCGTGCGAAGTTTTCGCGGCCGACGTACATGGTGCCAATAAATCCGCCAACCTTGTCTGTATCCTCAACGTCGATTTCCACGTCACGCTGCATACATCTTCTGTTGGCAAAGTCATAAGCTTCCTGTCCGAAAGGTTCGGCGGTGTCTCCAGGCTGACGGGCTGGCTTCGGCGTTCGAATTCCAGAAAGGACAAAGGTCAATTTTGCATTCTCGCGAGGGACGAGAACCACAAATCTCGAACCGGCTCTCACAAAGTCCACAATAGCAGGAACTTTTTTCTGTCTTTGCAGTACCGAGGCTTCCATCTTCGCTTTCTGCAGGCTTTCCGAGTAATCCTGATACTGTTTTGCCGCAGGAGGTTTGTCCGACCACATGCCTTTGGCTTCTTTTTGAGCCAATTCCTCAGCGAGCAGCAAGGCGTCGTAGTCGGGGGAACGGTCGTCGTCGTCTCGTCGGTGTCGGATGACAGAAGCGTAACCGGCCTCCACCAAGGTCAAGGCGATGTTCTTTCCGCCCACCGTCACGGTGGCCACCTCCCGTTCTTCGAAGCCCTCTGAAGCCGGCTTTTTGCCATCAATGCTCACCTTAACGTGCTTTCCGATTAGTCGTTTCCTGAGAAACTCCTTTGCGTCGGCACCGAAGGGAGCTTGTTTCGGGTCTGAAGGTTTGGGTTGACGGATACTGGAAAGGGTTACTTTTCGTTCCTCGCCGGATCGGGTTCGAAGAAAGATCGTCTCCGCATTCAAGACTCTGACGACTGTAAAATCCGCCTCCTGCACTCCGGCGGCTTTGGAGGCCGCCACCCCGGTGAAGACGCCCTTTCTGGCATTCTTGGCCGCGTTCTCGGCGTTTCTAAACTGGGCCATTTGATTTCCCAGCAAGGTGACATGTTGGTCATTGGAGCGGGCTAGGCCGGCCTCGAGCAGGAACATGGCGATGTTCCCTTTGGGGTGTAGGACATTTGCGATGAGCTGATTTTGCGGTGTCACCCCAAGAAGCTCGACGGAGCATTTCCGTTGATGTAACCTCTCGTCCACAAAAGCATGCGCCTCGGTGCCGTAAGGCTCCGCCGGGACGTCTTTCCCTTCTGGAGTAGTTCTTTTGGTCGCCGGAGCTCGTATACCGGCCAGGACAAGCATGGTTTGAATGTGCTTGGTGGGAGTGAGCATGAGACGAGCAATCAAGCGGTCTCCTGTCAGAACCCTCTCAATGATAGCTTCAATTTTCTTGCCCTTGCACTGTTCGACCAGGGCATTTGGGTCGGAGACTTCGGACGAGTTCTCGATCTGACCGCCCTTGGCCCACAGGCCCTTGCCTTGAGATTTTGCATCACTCTCCAACGATCTCAGCTTGTCCAGGTATGCCAAAGCATCTTCGTCTTCCTCCTTTTTCCCGGCATCCTCACGCACCTTCGCCCAGCCTTCCTGGACGAGGAGATCGGGCAGTTCGGCGCCATTGGGGACTCGGACTCGGCCGTATTCGCGTTTCGTGGTGGGAATAGCATAGAGGACCTGGAATTGAATGACCTTGCCGAGGACTAGCTCGCGGACAAACTCGCGGGATTGGAAGGCAAACGGCTGCGCAGGTTAGCTGGCGGCAATTGTGGGTCCCATGAGGCATGTACCACCGACCTCGTCACCCTCTCTTTTCAACCTTGGGGCACTGATGTAGGCCAGGGACAGGGTTCGTTCGGCGCCCTTTGTATTTGTGATGATCAGGGTGTCGCCCGACAGGATGCTCTTGACCCGAGCTTGGAGGAGAGCCATTGCGAGAGAGCCGAGTGCTGTTTAGAGGCGACGGTGTCAATAGAGCGAGACGACAATGAAACACAAGCCAGGGACGCTATGCGACAACAAGATCGGCGGACGTGAACAAAAATGACAAGTTGCTGGCTGCTGAACTGGCGGTGGAGGGCCGAAGGTGGATTTTCAACGGGGTGTCTGGTGAGGACAGCGCTTTGTGGACAGTTTTGCATTTATTTACCACCTCGTGTCCTTGCCCTGTAATTTGTGGGGTAAAATAATCGGGATCTCGTGCCTCTGAGATTGCCCGTAGTTAGTAAGGTGGCCATGCCTGTATGGGTCTAGCCCGTGCTAGCAGTGCCTATTATAGGCATCGACGTCACCGCTATTGAGCCTGGGGAAGAATAGCGGGAGGGCCAGGAGGGCCTAGTGGAAGGCAAGGAGGGCACCCAGCGCCCCGAGAGAATTGAAAATGGCGACAACATTCTAACCCGTCGTGCGGATCAATCAAGACCAACTTGTACACGGAGATGGCCGTGTAGACTCCCAAGAGCCGCACGGCAGACAGCAGACACACAACATGGCCATCCGGCGCTCCTTCCCGTTTGAGGTGCTTATCTCGTTCGTTGCGGGGTATTTCGTCTTGCTGATGGATGCATGGACGAGGGAGGACGCAGGGCATTGCCCGTGTCGCGCCTCTTATATAGCTGCCCGAAAGGAACTCTGGTGCATTTTCAATCGATCTTCTCTTGCTCTGTAACTCGGTCCTCTTCTGTGTCCGTTACTTGCAAATTCCATTGCTCCGTTTTTCATATCCGAGGCTGTGCTGTAGGAACCCTGTTTCGCGATTACACGTCTTGGTGAGCCCCTTTCCGCGCCAGCCTCGTGTCTATCTACCCACCAGCACGACAGGATCAACATGAACAATACCGACCCGAACCACCGCAAGGCCATCGTCGGCAACCCAAATGCAAGCTTCTGGCTCTATGACTCCAAAACGGGCTTCAATCTCACGCACCCAGCGACACCCTCCTCGCCCACGCCCTCGCCTAACTACACAGTCAAAACAACCACCCTCCCTATAACGATCCACCCCCCCATATGTGCCCTTGTGATAATCGACATGCAGAATTTCTTCCTGTCCCCGAATCTCGGCCGCCCAAAAGATTCCAAGGGCCTCGTCGCTCAGCAGCAGCTCCTCAAGTATGCCATCCCCGCGGCTCGAAAAGCAGGGATCCGCATCATCTGGTTGAACTGGGGCTTAACAGACCAAGAGGTCGCCGAGATGCCGCCGGGCACTCTGCGGGCGTTCGGGTTCGAAACCGTTCTCGCCTCCGAGTTCGCATGCTACGACAAAGTCCAGAGGAAGCAAGCGGCGGTGGACTCGCACGGGGTGAATGAGGGGTGTCACCAATTTCCAGACCCTCACATTGAGACGTCGGGCAAGAACCCCAGAATCTACAAAGGACTGGGGACTGAAGTGGGCCCCGTGGTGCTCGACGACGGGAGCACGATCCAAGGCGGTCGACTATTGATGCGCGGCACATGGAATGCTGACTTGACTCCGGAACTAAAACAGACCTACGAGGCCGACGGCAAGAAGGCGAATCCGCCAGACGTCTGGATCCATAAGAACCGCATGTCTGGTCTGTGGGGCCAAAGCACATTATGTACTGAATTCCTCGAGAAAGAGGGAATCAAGACCTTGTTCTTTACCGGGGTCAACACCGATCAGTGTGTCGGTGGGAGTCTTCAGGATGTGAGTTCTTTTTCCATCATCGATCTGCCCCCCCCCCCTCCTCTTGCATCTACATATTTTATCACAGGGGTCTTGAATCACTACCAGGTTCTATCATGGCTGATTCTCGATGTTGTTCGGGACCAGGCTTACTCGAAAGGTTACGACGTGATTTTGCTCGCCGACGGCGCAGGCACGACGAGCCCGGCCAGCAGCCAGGAGAGCATTGAATTCAACTGTGCGAAGACGTGGGGTTTCTGTACCTCCTGCAAGGACTTTGCCGAGGGTTTGGGCCTTTAGCAGAACTGAACTCCGTAGGAGCAGGCGACAGCAAAGTCAAAAACTCTGAAGCTCGCAATGTTAGATTGACTATCGGCTGCCATTGTCTTTCATACCCGCAATCCTCCACCTGGGACGTTCGGTCGTACCATCAATCTGTCAGTCTGTCGATATCACGCTGAGAAGCGCCCATGAGTTTCCACTCTCCTCCATCTGGCCGTCTTGCCATGCTGTCAGTGTCTTGATATCACATTGAAAAGTGTCCACGAATTTCCATGATCCTTCACCGGGATCTCCTGCCAATAGCCGATCACCTTCCTCCCTCACTCCGCCGTTCTCGTTTCGACACGGTCCTCATGGTCTACGTCCGCCCCTGCCGCGTCCACTTCGACCCCGTCCTTGCCTCTTACCGTGAAATGTAGCATGTTGGGTTGGACCAGTTGCCTCCGCCCAGCGGCTCTGCATCGTAGATTGTGGGTCAGCAGGGGAAGTGGACGCGACAGGAGGTGATGCAACAGCGGAGGGTGTTACAGGAGATTCAACAGGGGCTGCCTCTTCCAATGCAGAAGAAGATGGCGGAGGCGCAGTGCTGTCTCCCACCACTGGTGGGGAAACAGGTACATGGCCGAGCCCTTCAATCTGCGCCTTGAGACCCTTGATGTGGAGGGTGCAGTTGTGAAGTCTTTTGACTTGCTTCGTGAGCTGCTCTTTCCTCCGACGCGAGAGGCCCTTGTCGAAATAAGCCGCTTTGCGCAACTCCTGCGTCTTCTCTTCAAGTTTGGCCGTCAAGCGATCCCTGGTGCTACTAAGCGCACTCGCTTCTTCCGAGGCCGCCTGCTTTTCTTCCATCAGTCGAGCAATGATGCTCTCCTTCTCCTTCATCTCCTCCTCTCTCTGGCGCAGGATCTTCAGCATTTCGGTGAGTCAGGCCAGAGCGTCTTGTTGTCCATCCATCTTGGAGTCTTTTTCGGAAATGATGCCCTCTTGCTCCTTGATTGTGGAGTCTCTTTCGGCATTTTACGCCTTTTGTTCAGAGATGACATTTTTCTGATATGCCATGGACCTTCTTGCTTCGGCGAGCTTGACGGCGAATGCATGTCACTCGTCTCGGAGCTCTTGATTACGGCAGGAAGAGGCACGGAGCACACCATCCATAGGGACAAGAGTGGATTTGGCCGGGTCTTCAAGGATGCGCTTTTGGTCTTCGCGGTCGGGTTCCTCTTTTGTTTGAGGGTGCCCACCGCTTCTGGATATTGCGATCCTTGGTTGAATTGATCGAGGCGTTTTTCGAAATAGGTGATGAGTAGAATGGCACCAACAAAGAGCATGATCAAGAATGACGACGGTTCGCTTGGGGATCTGGACCCCAAGCTGCGCACAACAGAGTGTTGTGGAAGAGAAGGGACCTCGCCCAACTCAACGCGAGGTTGTCGCTGGATCACTGGGCACATCGGTCGCAAGACTCCTTTCTTCGGCTGGTAGAGGAATGCATGTCTTGAGGGGCACCTTTTTGAGGACGTGACCGTTGATAGATCTGGTGCGGGCCTTCGGCACAACGAAGCTCTGGCCTTCGATTCAAGATTCGGAAGCAACGAGGGAACCCCCAGAAAAATCCTTCGCATTGAGCGGGAAGTCTTGGTGTTTGCTGCTGCTACGTGAGAATTTGTAGAACGTTTGAAAACGTCTAGAAGAGGCATTGCACCAATCAAACACACCCACGCGATCAAGGATCGTCGTCCACAAAACGTTTCTGGCTGCCATGATCAAGCTGCTGAGGGAGACGCTTAGGGTATGACTACGTTGGAGATAATGTCTGGAAGAAGTGTGGTCACCGAACCTGCAGAAGACGCCAGGACTTATGTGCTTGGCTGGAAGGTGCGTACTTATTTATTCTCTCGACAATAAAGATCAGGGACATGTTGGACGACGAAGCTTGCTGATGTTGCAGCGGTTCGATGGAGGGAGCAGGCGGGTTGCTTTAATCTGTCCGTTAAGTCTTCTGCTTGAAGGGAGTGTGCTGCTGGCAAACAACCAAGCGAATTTGCTGTGTTCGCCAGGACAGCAAGAATCTCGGAAACAAAGCGACGATACAGAGATTGAAACGATGCGTGAGTTGCTATCTTATGGCTGGCAACATACGGGAGGCGAGGATGCACTTACATTGATGTTTGATCAGGACAAAGGCGAACCAAGACCGGTGAAAAGAAGTTCTTTGCAGATGAGGTTTTGTTTCACTGTGTTGCTTGGTGCTGAGGTCTGATCAGGAAAAAGCCGAACGCGGAAGAACGGTGAGATGATGGTCTTGCAGAAGAGGTTTGTTGGCTCTATTGGCGAGCAGTTCTGCGAGAACGCGGATCAGGGAGGAAAACTCTGCTTACAAGAAAGAGGATAATGTCTACTCAAGGACGATGAAAGAGATGAGTTCGTGGAAGAGATTATTCTGGAAGCGAATAAGGAATGAAAACCAAAAATTTGCTCTGGGGGTGAATGAAATCAATGGACAACCCAATCGACCAGCAGGTTTGCTAGAATCATATTACTTCCGTACCCGACCGAATGCTTCAAAAGAGCCAAGATATCTGTGTTTTCAACATTAGCCAAGTTTTCGCACAAGAGGAGGCTTTACCCAACAAGGGTAAATATGTACAGGGTCAGCATACCTCAGTCGCCTTCAAGCGGTAGAAACACTGTCAGTGTGGGCGAGGAAGGAAGCAAGGGAAGGTACACAAGGGTTTGAAGTGCAAGAATAGGGTATCATGTATTGGTACAGTGTTGCCCAAGTGGAACACCTTGCTCTCTACATGAGAGAGTGCATTTCCTTTTCGCCATGAACGCCATCGTAGGTCCAGAGCTGACTGTGGTATTTTCATGTACAAGCTGGCAAAGGTATATTTCCATCATACATCATTGTTGAGGCATCATCCCATCATTCATATTGTCGCTCAAGATAAAGTCGTTATAAGTAGGCTGCCCAAATGTCTCTGCCCAATCCCACTCGAAAGTCATGGGCATCTGCCACAAGTCCTGAGGGACAAAAGGTTGTTGGAAAGAACCAACGTTTAGAGGCGACATCGTCGAGCTGGGCATTTGTTGACTCCCGATGTCTGGGCTGAGGCCCGGCGCTGAGATCATGTCAGCATAATCGTTGTCAAACGCCGGCACGTTGAAGAACTGGTTGTTAGGATTCAGGTTGTTGCCTGTAGCATTACCAGCAACGGGCGTCACAGGTACGGCAGCAGTGGAAGCCGACGGTATATTGCCTGAAGCAGTACGTGGTGAGGTTCCGGCGCCGCTTGATCTTCGAGACCCAGCATTGCGCCCGTTGATCTGCGACTGTACTTGCGCCATGGCTGATTGATTGACACGCATGACTTCTTCGGGGACAAGCCTGCGTTTCCGTTTTGAGCCTTCCTTCTCGGCCTTTTCAATCACCACTCTGGCAATGCGGGCAAACTCCGAACAGACAGTGAGCATGCGATTCAACGATCCGGTACCTTCGTCATGCGCAACATTCGATAGGAAATTGACGACGAGGTCCATCAGCTTAATGTCGGCTCTTGCGCGGGTGTCTTGGGGGTTCTGCAAGATATTTGCAAATAGAGTGACAAGTGCCGAGACTGGGAAGTATAGGATTAGCCAGACGCAAGCGAAATCTCCCTGCGGGATGTATTTGATGAGGTGGATCGAGGCCCGTGCAGCTGAAACGCAGAGTGCCGCAGAGGAAAAAACCCTTGGATTGAGGGGTCTAGCGTTGAGTCCTTGGATGGCATATTCCGACAGTCGGCTGGTCCAATAGCCATGGTGAACTGACATTCGGTGAATTGTTGTCAGGCAGTTGTAGTATGAGAAATGGAGGACAACAATATGCAAAATGAGCGGGGTGTGAGATGTCTTGATTTCGTGTTCTGGTCGGAAGTCCAGAGGAATGCTGTCCTTCCAAGCTTCCAGTTCTTTGTCGAGTTCGCCGATGGTGTTCAGAAGCTCGCCATCACTCTGCTTCGAGGCTCTGACAGAGTAGAGTTGACGATACACCTTGCTTGATATGATGGCAAACTCACACATCAGGCGGAAGAGGTTAATCTTGCTCTTACCGTCTGCCAAAGGGACATTTCCAATGTTATCAGGAGGGTCTTCGGAGGGCAGCTCGACGTTCATGTCATCGTCGTCCTGCGCCGGTGGTCTCCCAGCGCGCAGGCAGGCGTCTTTGTCGAGCAGGTAGCCAATCCAGAAGACCCGTTTGCGTTGCTCCACTTCGATAGGATTGAGGTTGAATGCTGAACCTCGCTTGTGAAGCCCTATCGTATGTGAACATCTGATGGCAGCCGCAATCAGAAAGAACGATGGCTGGGGGTTTGGTGTGCCTTGCAAAAATAGAGCCATCCCCAGAAGAGCCTGGACACTGAGAAGGTCGGTATTTCGCATGGTCAGTTCGGTGATGACTCCCATTGCATTCTTCAGATACAGCCACGCCTTCTGGTCGTCTTCCTGCGGAACAACATTACTCATGACCCTGATACGGTAGGCAATAGCGAGTGCGACGTTGATGCTCGCCCACCACCCACTTCCCTCATAGGGGTCTTTGGAATACTGTTTCTCGACGAGATGCATAAAAGTAGGTTCATGGAACAATGGGAACATGCAGTTGAAGTTCTCAAAGAAATCCTTGAATAGGGACAAAGCTTCGTCTTTGGGCGGCAGCGGCTTGAAGACTCGGCGGACGAAGATGTCTCCAAACACTTCGGGTTTCCAGTACTGCCATTTGGTATCGTCTTCGTTGACGGCGTTTTGAATGGTTTCCTGGAAAGATGTGTCCCCAGTCTTTTCATTGACCCACTCGATACCCTTACTCGAGAAGATGGAGAAGGCCGACGACGATCCTGGCCTCCGTTAGGAGAGATGACGCCGAAATGCAAGAAGAAAAATACATACCAATATATCTGGTCTCACCGACGTTGTTGGTGACCAGCGAGCACATGGCCTCGGAAAGATTTTCTACATCTTCCCGCCCTGTTTTCTCTCCATCTGTACTCGGTGACGTTATATTGTCCCGGGGAGTTTCGAGGGAGTCCCGTTGTGAGCCTGGTCGGGGGGAGTTTTCGGCAGTTGCAGAATTTGTGCCACTCTTTGTGGCACCTGGAGAGTCTGTCTTGTGGGCTGAGAATTCCCTGGAGGAGGCTTTTTCAGCGAGACGCTTCTCCAGCGTTCCCAAATCCGTCTTTCCTGCTTCTTCTTCGCTGAGGAGGCCAGACATCCGCAAGAGTGACTCCATGCGCCCGAGGCGGTTTTCAAGGCCCTCGATATATTTAGCCCTATCATGACCATCAGTTTCCAGTCTCGATTCTCTTGATTTTGCGCAGGGATCTAAGATTACATACCCCTTTGGAGGATTACGCTTCTTCTCGACCTGTGTGAAGATACATTCCGTCTTGTAGTTTATGCAGTGACCGCATTTGGGCATCTTGCCGTCACACTTGATCTTTTTCTTCCTGCACATATCGCAAGCCTGCAATCGCCGTCAGAAAGCACGGTTCTTGTTTGATAGCTCTGTATGGAGGCGCACCCTTGCAATGCGCCGGCGTTTGGGATCGTTCTCGTCGGCGCCTCCATCATTGAAATCACCAAAATATGCACCCGGTGGTAGGATTGGCGGTATAGGAGTGCCATCGGCGTTATATGCTCCAAAGATCTGAGGAGGCTGCGGAGAAACGAACTGGGACATGTCATAACCCAGGCCATCAATACTGCCTCGAGGGTCCATGATGACGTCCCGATGTCGCCGCCGCCACCGTAGGATCTCGACAGAGGTTCGTATAAGCAGAAGAAGGACTCGTAGAACTACACTGAATGCGGGCACCCGGTTGGGACAGGACCGGAAATCGGAGTGGTTCAGGAGAAGTCAGCCGTTGGACTCATTGTGTACGGGACCTTCTTGAAACGAGTTTCTCGCCACTGGGGCATGGGACGGAACTGAGAGGGTGGGCAGAAGGTCGACGAAATGGCTTTGGAGGGATGAGGATCTGCGGGCAGCAAAGCTCACTAGCAAAAAAAAAAAGATTGGGGAAATTGAGAAATGGGCAAAATAACTTGAGGGAGTGTGGTATAAGGCGATTAATCAGGCAGAAAAAGAGGTCGCGTTCAGGAATTTCAGGAAGGTTGAAAGTGTATCAAGTATTAGTCGCAGCGAGGACCATGATCAGATACGATTTACGAGCAGCCCGCGGGCAGGGGTCCGGGCCACCAGACCCGTCACCCATAGCTGTTCAGAGTTAGGGCACCTGTGGGCAATGGGCACCAAGCCCTAGTTGCGCTAGCTAGTCGGCCGGCTATGACGATGGCGGGTAGCCCTGCGGGTTTCAGAGTGGTAAGTGATCCCCCTGCCACCTAGGGGCCATCAGTGGTGCCAGGACCATTTGGACCGCTCTCCAACTCCCCCACCGTCTGGATGCCCATGCTCAAAGGGGGGCATCATACCGAGCGCGACCCCCCAGCTACGGGCTCCAAGGCTCCAAACCTCCATGCTCCAGGCACCAGTATTTGCATTTCCTAACTCCCTCGCCTTCTCCGAACCACCCCGGTATGTTGCCAACCATCTCATTCGATGGGGCAGAGGCTGGCGGCTACTTCCACTGATTGACGATGCCATCATTCCATCATTGACGTGGTGGCCGCCTCCCACGTTCTGTTCTTCTCTTTGCTTGCTTTCCGGCCATCTGTAGGGACCGGGGTTAAGGCATTTTGGCCGGAGACTGCCATGTATCAAGGCTTTATTTCCTTTCTCAGTTGCGTCCACGGTCAGCAAACTGCGAACCCTCCACCATCGAGCCATCGCAGCTAGGACAAGCTTCACGGCGTGTACCACTTGCTCGCTTCGCCCATGGATTCCCCCCGGGGTGTATCAGACTACGACAATGCGGTCTCAACTGAGAAACTCACCAGCTCGCATCCCTCAGCTCACTTCTTCCGGAAAGACAAATCAGTTTCATCCACCTCGAATCAGTCCTCCCGCGAGTAAACCCTGTCTTCTCTCATCTCCTGGTCTCTTGTCTCGTCATGGGATGCTTTCTCCACGAAGTTAAAGGGGGAACATGACTCGCCTCTTCCTACCCAGTACCTCGTACGGATCGTCGTATCGTCGTCGTCCTTTCTCTCTCCCTCGATTGACCCTCAGGTCACACTCCAGCCCAAAAGGCGACAACTCAATTCACGAGTTCCTTTCATCCGCTCCGCTCTCAAGCGTGCTCCGCCTCTGTCTCCGTAATTCCCTGCGGCCTCTCCTCCAATTGCAGCAAGATACCTGCAAAGCTTGATATGGCGCCGTTCTACCGTATAGTCGGATTCGGTGCCCTTTTGCGCCGGCGGACCCGATTACTGGTCCGAGTGGCCTCATGTTGCTCTATGCTCCCCTTCGATTCCTCGATCGGATATTCTCGTAATGTTCGACTCGTCTCGAAATTGGGCTCTGGTCCCAACTCACTCGGCCGAATCTACCGACGGTGGCCAGAGGTGTGGCTCCTCACGTGGCAGTCTCTGGTAAGCCACCCCTGCGTCTTCCATCATAATCATGCTCCGGGATGGTCCAGAAAAGGTAGCAGGCTGACTAAATCATCTTGTCCTCTGTTTTCACGAGGTTGGGACAAATGAGCCATTTTTCGTCTATTACTTCCTTTGATCGATCTCCAAGCATTCAAAGTTCGGTAGTTATTCAGATCCCGGGGTGCAGAAAAGACCTCGCAGATTATTGCAAGGAACAATCCGATCCTGAAGTCGTGTGACCCGATGTCGCTTTTTACTTTCCGGAGTCCGGCACGATGTCGGTGCGTTTAAAGAAGGCGAGAGCGAAGTCTTGAACAAGAGGTTCGTGAAAATGTTCATCTGTTTGTGCATTGGATCCTGGGAACAACTATGATTCCGCGACACGGCGGGGGGGAGCCTCTCCCTGCCGCCTCCACAATGCGCTTCCCGCTGGACCTCCAATTCCTCATGGCTGTCGACGGTCTCTTGGCAACGTTCAACCATGTCCCAACCATGTGATTTTCTGATCCCTCCCCAATTATTGAAACAACCATTCTCTGCCTTGTGCCGTGACACACCACCAGATGTGTTTGGCCACAGATGCATGGAAGTAGGTTTGCTGGCGGTTGACGAATATTCGCGTTGGTTCGGGTATCTCGAAAGGCTGGGGGACCTTTTGCTGAAGCCGCTTAAGCTCACGAAAAATTCGGTCTCTGCAAGGGAAGCCGTCTTCTTCGCCCGGCAAGGCGACCTCGCTCCAGTCTTCGTCTTGTTGTTCATCGTCGTTGCGGTCATCGAAGTCCTCAATGTCGCTCTGCCTTTGTTCTTGTTGGCATCCTCCACTGCCACCATGCTCGTCTCGTCCACTTCCTTCGGATCCCCCACTACCACCGTGCCGATATCCTCCACCATTGCCGTGATTGTCTTCACCATCATCGCTATCGTCCCAAGGGTTCTCTCTGCCCTCTTCGTCCGATCCCTCTTCACTCTCACTTTCTTCGTCTTCACCCAGATCTTGTTCACCACTAGCAGGATGGACATTGCCGCTTTCCTCTTTCATCTGGCGGTGCTGCGCTTCATACTCTTCTCTTAGTCGAAAGTATGCAAGTTGGGCAGCGTCGAACTCATCGTCCAAAGGATTTCCTTGGCCTCGAGCAATGAAGTCGGCTTCCGAGCCTGAGTCTGTGACTGCATGTCCTGCGACGTCGTCTTCAAGTGGAGTGGATTGACTGACCCTTCCTCCTTGGTTCTGGATGTCCTCTTCCTCAAATAAAAAGTCATCAACCGTCGCGACGCTTTCTTCTTGGGCATCGTCCTTAGAACCACGGCTTGGCGTCGAGTCTTGACTATCTTGACCCGTTTCGGCTGCTCTGTCTTGGGGCTGTGTCCCACCCGCTCCGATGTCGCTACTCCGGAAAGTCTGATTGCCTGGATGTTGTGGAGTCGTCGCGTACCTCATGTTCAACAAGAGGGCCTCTACCGGCTGAGGTGGATTGTTATGCAGAGTCTGTTAAGAGTCTCTAAGAAACACACTTCGCGGTGAAGGCTCGCATCGGAAACGTACAGACTTCATTGGTAAGAGTTTTCGGTCGGATCCTCTCTATCGAGTGGCCCGGTTGCGTTGGGGTGTGTGACGGAATTCCTCTCTCTGACGACGTTCAGCTTCCAGGTACGCTTCTCGATAGAAGCCTGAACCAGGAAGTGGGGAGTGGGAGTGAGGAAGGCCGTCGCCCAGCGATTGTGGGAATATCGACGGATAAGCAGGGGTACTGCTTGCCTTGGGATTGTCGGATGTTGAGCCTCTATCGAATGCGGAAACAGCGGCCACATCTGCCATGTACTCGTCCAGCATTTGCGCGGGATGAGCTTGGGATTCTAGCGACCTAGGTTGGTGCGAAGCTGCAGAGCCATGCTGCTGACTGTCCATGCTAACCGGATGTGCAGGCCTGCATCCTAGCGCGATTGCAGCAGCCTGTTCTTGAACTGCGGATTGCAGTGACACAGGGGGACCCTGAGGAACTTGTTGTGCAAATGCAACTTCGTGTGCAGGGCCGTCGTGTTCATAATCCATATCCGCTGGACCCTGCCCCAGAAATAGTCCAGACATCGAGGCCGACAAGATCTCATCGGTATTCACCTGTTGGGGCACAGATTGGGAAGGTTCGGCTTGTGCCACAGCCTTAGCCGCCTCGATCGGCTGTGGTTCCGCCGTGTTGGCAGCGGGGAGTAAGATCTCAGGTCTCAGTGCCCACTCTACAAGAGCTTGCGTTCGGTAGTCGGCAGGCATGCGGCTCCAGGAATCCAAGGCTGCGAAGAAGGCAGGGGTGATTCGAGACGCAACGAGGGGCTGCTCTTGTGCTTGAGCTTCATACCCGGGAGCGGGATCTGGTGCAACGAAGTTGAACGATTGTTGCTCGCCATCGGATGCAGGCACGACCGAAGGCGGTTGCTCAGTCGAAACTCGAACGCCAGTGGCTTGTTGTCCTTGCGCATCTATGACCATTGAGTCTCGCAATGCTACAGGCGCCTCCCCTATCTGGAAGTAGTACGTCTGGTTGACCACTGATCCGTCGGATTCTGTTGCAAAGGCGACCCCGCGGCCACGTTCAGACCGACTAGACGCCGTATCTACAGCTTGCGTCTGGCTCCGGAGTCCACCACGACGACGACCGCCTGTGCCATTGAACACGTCGACAATTGGCTGTTTTGATGGAGTCGAGGCAGGGGTGGTTGAATCGAACAAATCGCCAAAGTCAGCAGTGCCAGAGCCGTTGCAATCGCCAGTGGCTCCAGAGACATCATCGGTTCCTCGAACGGAAGGTCGAGTCAGTTCCTTCAATCTTTCTTGTGCGATAGCCAGGGCAGAGCCAAAGTCGTACCCAGCACCGCCGTCGCTGCCAAATCTGGTCGGGGAGAGCGGGTTTCTACTGGTCGATCCTTTGCGGAACGCTTGGTCGTTGCTTTTGCCATCATCGTTGTGAAGAGAGTTGTCTGTCCTCTCCTCGGGCTGTTCCTCTTCCGGAATTGCTTTCAGTCTGCGTGTTGATGGACCAGGGCCCTGTGAACTGCCGTTCTCGTCCTTGACATCCTCGTTCTTCTTGTCGTCCTCCGTGGGAATCGACGAAATATTTGAACGGGTGGGAGAATGGACGGTCTCAGAATGCAACATGATGCTTTCCCCTTCTGGAGAAGTGGGTTCGGAAGCATAAATGGCAAGTGGCTCTTGCCCAGGTTGCGGCATGGGACCATGATGTAAACCGGACTTAAAGCAACTCTCAGTCCCTGTCGAAGCATTGCCGTTATATATCCCAGTTGGGAAGGATCTGGGCATCACGTCGTCATGCTTGTCGGAGACGGTTGACCCGAGTTGTCTCTCTGTAGGTTCGTTCCCATGCGACTGTTCGAACATGGGAACGTCTGTTGAACAAGGCATGATGCTCGAGCTCGATTGTTGGGAAGGGACTTGCTCGGATTCTAGAGTAACAGTGCGTTTAGATTCCTGTGCAACCAGATGAGCTGGTTGAAGCTGATTGAGACTTTCGGTCGGGATTCCTAGTTTCTTCGAGTTTGAAGGCTCGGCCTGTTTTTTCAGCGCTTTCTTGGAACTGAGGTCTTCCAGCCCCTGGGTAGCTGTTGCGGTAGAGTCTTTCCACCGTCTGCCAAACAATTGGTCACGGAGGAGACGTCCATGCATTTGATTCCCATCGGACCGCTGTCTACTACTGGTCTTCCGGGAAGGCGATAGCTGCGATACTTTTGACGCTGGCGGCGCTTTGAAGATTCCAGTGGCTTTATAATTCTCAGGATCATAGGTTAGCGGAGAGGCTTCCGCTGATCCTAAGGATGGTAAGTGCTCTGCGGAATCGAGAAACTCCCTAGGGAGGCTCTCTTCACTATCACGCTCTGCTGCATCAACAAACTTTCCAGGGAGGCTGCCTTCTTCATCACCTGCAGGAGTCGAGTCCAGTGGAGCTTCCATTTGCAATTCGGGGGTAGACACTTCCTCTTCAATAGGCAAAGGTTCAGTGGCAACCTCGGTGTTGAGCTCCGGTTCTTCTTCTCTCCCTGCATACCACCCGATATATCTGTCTAAATTGTCTTGCAGGTAGAGGATAATGAGAGGAGCGTAGAGGGACAGCATTACGAGGCCTCTACTTGCCACCGCAGGACCGAACTTGGTCACCAGTGGAACGCCGATCGGAATGAACACGGCCTTTGCCGAATGAGTCGGTACCAGTTTCAGGACAAGAGCGAGCGCTTTGTTCAAGAAGTCTCGGACGATAAAGAGGTCTCTTCTGGCCGACTCGATGATTGGCCTCAACTTTCTGTCTGCATGCGCATTTAAAAAGATCAAGACAAGCTCCCACGGAGAAGAGGTTACTTTGAGTGCTGGCGGTTGAGGCTCATGGATGTTTATGATGAGGGAAAGACCGCTAGCCTGACTGTTGTCCTCTTTGAGCTCTTCGGGAAGTATGAAAGTCTCGTTCGTCGCAGAGGCAGGGCCGTTTGGATATCTGTTGTCGAGGTCCCCGACTCGGAGGCCATCGATCTCTTCAACGCAGATTATTGTGCCATTGCTCCAGGCTTCAACCTCAAAGAATCGTGTCATTGGGACAGGGGAATGGCACATCGACTGTGGAACCGCGTCTGCGCTGGCTTTCGATACGACTGTCTTGACAATGCTGGGGGCTTCAAAACCCGTGGGTGCGGCCGTTGGTGTCGGCAATAAACTGGAACTGCTGCGCGTGACTCTGTCTTTATGGGATTGCACCGTGACATTTGCGGTCTTTGAGGGTTTGAGGAGATGCCAACCTACAAGGCCCGCGAAGCCGACTGCACCCGCTCCACCCACAAAGACTTCGATGTCTTTAGTCAGGATGCGAGGTATCGCTTCTACATTGCTGCAGAAGCAAAGAAAGAAGAGGAGAATCCACTTGAGGGACAGCATGGTGAAGGTATTCGAGATTTGTTAGAATTGTTTGTGGCATCAGCAGACAGGGGTTTGCAAGGCCTCGTGCTTCTTGTCGAATCTTTTTCCACCCTTCCGACAGACGAGGAAGATAGAAGGGATCGTTGTGAAGTAAACTTGACAAGTCGCAAGAGCGGCTATGTCTCTCTGTCTGATGAGAACAGGGGACAGACGGTAAGGAATCGAGAAGTTGCTGTGGTTTGACTAGGGATGTCTGGAAGGAACAAGAAGTTGAGAGGTAGACGCGGGCGAATTCTGGTGTTTGAGGAACCGAATGGACGCATTTAACGGTTATTGAAGAATGCTGGAGTGAAAAAGACGGGTGAGGCAGTTGTAGCGCAGTTGATTGTTGTGTCTGAACACAGGCCGTATAGAAGCACTGATATCTTCCAAGGGAGTCATATGCATCAACAAAGATAATTGACAATGCCTACTGATGGATCGTGGTCTGTATACGTGTCGTATCGTGCTTTGATAGATATATAACTCTCTACAGGGACACGAGGCTGAAGATTCAGGGATGTGGAAATAGGTGCTTGTAAATTCTTTTGCTCCAGGTCTAGTTATAGAATTGCGCCGAATTATCTATTACCGATGATTGCTATTCTAATGACTGCTATGCGTATGAGACAAAGAACCATTCTCTTGATCTATTGATTGTGAGTATTCGTTATTGTCTCACGGACAATCGACCGAGGCTGTGATTGTCCGAGACATTGAGGCTGAATGGTGTTGCTCAAGCCAATCATGACAAGTTAAAATAACAATACGCCATAATACGGACAAGCGACCTCCTCGTTCCCGTCGTCTCAAATGACATGGAATTTCCAATACAGCCCTCTCCTCTTGGTCATTTGAAGATCCCTATGACATCAACCTGTGATCATCAGGCACCTTGTCGGTCCCTCGTGTTTTTTGCCCTTGACATGTGAGAAGCACAGCTCGAAAAGGTAATATCGCATCTAAAACCTGTTTTTAAACCTTTTCGCCAGGGGGGACATGGAAATAATTCCTGTCCACTTCTGCACCGCACTCGTCTAAATGTTTTCTCCCCAACAGAGCTCGTGGCCAGATTGAAGATACACTCACTATCCACGTTTCTTGCACAGAACGGTCGGTGAATCCCAGAAGTACCCTCCATCACTCATTCTCCCAGATCTACTCAAATATGTCGGATGACGCTGGCTTCTTCAAAAGGACGTCGGAGGCCGTCGCCAACGCCGGCGCCTCCATTGCTGGCGCCGTTTCAGGTTCCCTCTCATTAGGCGCCTCCGCCAGCCATAAGAAAACGACCACGACAAAAACAAAGACTACAATCCCAGGAGACCAACAACAGTACTACATTGCAAATGGGGGAGCAGGACAGCCGCCCCAAGGACGCATTACCAATGGAGGACTGGGAGAGCAGAAGAGGATTACGCAAAACGAGGCCGATGCGCTGTACGCGGAGCGCATGGAGGACGAGTATGCAAAGAGGGAGGGCGGTGCTTGAGGAATCAGAGGCGAAGATGAGATGGGGAGAATTTGACCGGGAGGGACTCGGTGTCGGGCAGATATAACTGAGGACAGAGCATGACGGGGATCAAGCGTCTCTTCCGTATGGGTCATAGACGGCGACTGGGGAGTTATAAACTCGGGTCTGCCCAGCTCACATTGCGTGAGAGCCAAAATATACTCCTTTTGACATTCTGTTATTTCTCCCACATGCCATCTCGAGCACATAGATACCCACCGTACCTAGGGAGGTATGTAGACTACGGAGCTAAGAGAAGGAGTGAGGAGAGCTCCTCTTTCTCGCGTTTGCGTATGCCAGGCTATGCTAGAACTCTGCACGACTCACCTTGCTCGCCCCCCTCCTGGGTCAACAAAACACCACCCTCCGCCGCCACCACCACCATGGCGGAGGCGAATCTTCTCGGGCCACAGCCGCACACTACTCGTATGGTATAATGTTTCCGCGGTGTCGCTGAGGGACGGTCAAAGCTTCCAAACGTGCCTGCATTGGCTCAAGGCAATGCCATTCAACATACTCTAGCACGGCTGACCGCCTAGATTACTCGACTTGATTAGAATGTGACTCGGCCTATCGCTCGAATGGATCAGGAAAATGGTTCAAATGGATTAGAGATTTGACCATCTCGACAACAAAATCGACACTCGCACTACTCGAGTCATCGCAAAGGACGGCTTCTTGTTTGGCGGTTTTGTTTTTCGATCTGCAATACCTGGTACTAATTTCAATTCCATGGTGAATATAATAGCTCGGCTCAAGTTCAAAATTCCTATCCCACGAGACCCACCGATCGAGCTACACCACTGATGAGTCCCTTGACGAACACCCTCATTGAAAACTTTCCTGCAAGATCGAGAGACATCCCGAATATCGACGAACAGAGACATGATTCTATCCTACAAGGGCTGGGATTACCTACCAATGGAGGAAGAGAAGCCAGAGAGAAACGGTTGAGACAGCACATCGGGCTTCAACCTACCCCAACTACTGCATGAATTCCACATGCATAAATTGACACAGGGCAGACACCGGGACATCGATGTCTTACCTTTTTGGTCCTGGGCCGATCTTTGAAGTTCTGGGTCCTCATTTTGTTGTACGTCCTTCGACCCGACCCCCAGGTGGAAGCTGTGAGTCGCTGAATTATGAAGCCGTGCGTAGTTTTCCTTACCTGGAGAAACAAGTATCGAGGGCTCAAAGGGAAATCTTCGAGAAACCGAAGCATGGAACTGTTTTGTGCAGCAAGCCTGATTCAAAAACAAGTGGCACTCTCAAAGTCCTTCACTGTTAGAACGGAGGTGACCTTTGTTGGTGAAGAGCATTCCGTTTACCTGGGACATATTGCCCCCCTGTCATTCATCCTATTCTGTTGATCGTAATTGATACAGCGGTCATTTTGACGTTATTGAGCACTCTTGTGGTATGTATTCCGTGGTAGACTTGGGCCACTTATTTTTGAATCCGGCTTGGCGGGCTCTCTCGTAGTCCTCCACCAAAAGACTCGGTACATTGACGCGCCTCGTCCTTGTATAGCACATAACCCCGTTGTCTCTATATTCCACCATGGCTCCCGACGCGTCAAAGGCTCTCGAGCTAATCGACGTCGCTCACAGAGAAGACCCCAACAAAATCGAAATCAACGGCGAGACAGTTCCCTACGAGCTACACTACGCCCAGAAAATGACCAAATTTCTCGACCTCCATACCCCGAATGCTGGTCCTCTTCTCGCCACAGCCGCGCGAGCACAGCATTTCCGGCGCTGGGAAGTGCCTCGAGACAGCTACCCACGCACCAAAGCCGGTTACTTCGCATGGCGCACGCTCCTGAAAAAGCGACAGGCCGAGCAAGTCAAGCAAATATGCCTCGAGTGCTCCTACAGCGAAGAAGAAGCGAGTAAAGTGGCGGCGCTGATTGCGAAAGAGGACCTGAAAAAGGGAGAAGGTAAGGGTGACGCGGACGCCCAGATCATTGAGGACGTGGCCTGTCTGGTGTTTCTGGACGATCAGTTTGACGAATTCGAGAAGGAACATGACGAGGAGAAGATTATAGGGATATTGCAGAAGACCTGGGTGAAGATGGGCCAAAGAGGGCAAGCATTGGCACTGGCGATGGATTTGAGTGAGAGGGCAAAGGAGATGATAGGCAAGGCTCTGGCAGGTTGATGAGTGGAAGGTCGTGCTTTCAGATGGCCATACCAGTCTCTCTCCAACACTCTGACCACGACCCTGCCACTGGGTGTCGACAGGTCAGCAGGGTCTGGGAGAGGCATGGGAGTGTCACACCCCATCGAAAGAGGCCAATACAAGCCCTCGTCCAGGTTCAAAGAAGGGACGAGTCTTGCACACATCCTCATGAGTCGTGGGACAATGCAAAGCGTTGTTTCCAACGAGCCCACGACGCTCTGTCCCACATGCTGGCGGCGAGGCGGGTAAAGATCGGTCGTTGTATATTTATGTGGGAAAGAGAGAAAAAGAGCGGGCCTCCGCAGATTCGACCCCGCGATATTCACTCTTCCATCTTATATCAATACCAAACCCTTTCGGAGATCCGTCAAGACGATCCGAGACCGGTTGGCTCTTGTAGAACCTGACCCACTGGAATTTCGCACTCTCCTCGGTAGAGCAATATTCGCAAACCAGACATGTCTCCATATGCGAAAGTCGACTGCCATTCTCACTACCTCCCAGCGTGAGCTCATTCTCACCGACACGGAATTCTAGTAACTAAGGTTTCCCAGGGAATATCGCAAGGCACTTGCCGAAAATGGCCACCGCAATCCTGATGGCATGCCAGCTATTCCCGTATGTCTCTAGGGTATCTACAGGGCTGTGCAGCAGCTAGCTAATGGAGGTCAGGAATGGAGCGAAGAAAGTCATCTCACAATGATGAAGTCGATCAATGTGACAAAGTCAATCCTCAGTGTCAGCACACCTGGAGTGCACCTCAAGGCCGGAGACGATGCGCTCGCCCGAAACCTCGCCCGACATGTCAACGAGGTGGCAGCAGATCTGAAGAAACGAAAGCCCGACCAGTTTGGCTTCTTTGCCTCACTACCTCTGCCGGACGTGGAGGGCACCTTGCAAGAGATCTCCCACGCCTTGGATCAGCTCAATGCTGACGGGGTCGTCATGCTCACCAATTTCCACGGGTCGTATCTCGGACACAAGGACTTTGATGCAGTCTTCGACGAGTTGAATCGAAGGAAAGCCGTCGTCTTCATACATCCTACCACACCGTGCTTGTCATCGGGCACCGCGGCGACACCGCTCCCTCAATTCCCGAGACCCATGTTTGAGTTCTTGTTTGACAGTGCTCGCGCCGTCATCAACTTGTTCCTGTCCGGCACCGTCAAGCGATGTCCCAACATCACCTTCCACATGTCACATGTCGGAGGCGCATTCCCACCCTTGATCAACCGGTTCTCGAGTGTGGCCGAGATCATGAAGCTGGGTGGATCCGCCAACGAGGTCAGTCCAGCATGGGTCAAGGAGAGGCTAAACACGCAGTTCTATTTTGACACGGCGGGGTGGGCGTTCCCGGAGCAGGCCAAGGGGCTGTTGGAGTATGTCACGGTCGACAGGTTTCTATACGGCAGCGATTTCCCGTACACGCCGTTGCCCGTGGTTCAAGCGTTGTCGAAGCAGCACGATGAATATCTGCCTCAGGTGTTTGCTACCGACGAGGACAAGGAGAAGCTTTGTAGCAGGAACGCTGTGCAGCTCTTCAGCAGAGTTTCCAGCAAGCTTCCCTGATCGAGAAACGAGTCGCATTGCATTAGGCTTTTGTAAACAGCGGTAGAGAGTCGCATATGATCTAACCCTCCGCCTTCTGTGGGCGAGTCAGGTTGGCTGTTACCGACGTTTGTTACCACTTGCACCACATCCTCGGCGCCACATTGTTTGAACAAACATCAGGGCCCTTTGCTGATCGTTTCTATAAGATCTAGGTCATTGCCTGTCGCATGACAGGCTCAGGCCAGCTTCCTCCGCGTTGATCGGAGAATTGATCCGAAGCCATGGCGCCCCTCTCTGCTTTCCAGCATTCGCATTGATCGTCATGCTGCTGTCGTCAGACAATGTTAGGTGAAGTCATTGTAGGTGCGACAGTCAAGAAGGGACTAGGCTTGTGCAGGAACGTTGAGTAGAATATATCTATGGGTGGCGCATGTGTTTTGTGACAGCCTTCGTGTCGTGGCATCTGGTAAAGAAACCCAACCATACCCAAATCGAAACTCGAAAACAAACATCACGAACTCTCAAAAAGACACTCCTGCTTTCACTACATTGTCAACAGCTACTTGCGATCCTACCTTTGAGAATGACGGACAACCAGGCAGGAAGCGAGACGGGCAAGACAGAAGGTGCTCCAGGTTCGCACTCGGAACTATTTGGGCTCCAAGGCCAGAAGAGAGCATCGACAACCGCAGGCGCTGGAGCAGGAGGAGGCATAATCGGGACCAGTGGGCATGCTGGCGCGGCAAATAAGGGCGTTGATCTAGACTCGGGGAGCGACATTCAGAACGCAGGTGTTGCGGGCGTCGCTGAGGGAGGGAAGAGCTCTACCATCACAGGATCTGGCGGAGAGACTCTCACTCCAAGCCAAGGAAGCGGAAATGTTCGACCAGCAGGCGAAGAGAAGGGCGTCTTTGACAAGTTGAACCCTTTAAATCGAGAGTGAGGGAAGTTCCATGGTTGACAGAATACTTCGATTGAAGCATGAGGAGTTGCGTAGTGAGCAAGAGAGAAATCGACTTCGAGGGATCAAGAGAGAATGGCCAGGGGAGAAAGGATGAAGCCACCAGTGACTGTACGGACATGCTCAAGATATCCAATATGACTCTTGACTGTGGATAGGAACCTTGGTCCATACAATTAACGACGGAATGAGGACGAAGACACAATTGAGGGCATTCCATTGTGCAGATATCACCGTCGGAGGGCGATTTGACTGCCCGCGAAAGGCGTGGTGGGCCACTCAAGTGACAAAGATGGACAAGCGGAGGTGGCGGCCCAGTTAAAGGCGGAAAAACCCTCGGCCAGGGAGGAGCTAGGGGCGCCTCTTGAACCCGCCAGGTAACAAGTTTGCTGTACGGGCTTCCTTGGGTGCCTAACAGAGGTTGTACTGGGTACTGTAGGCCCGTGAGGCGCTTATAAGCCACACCAACGGACACTTGGATCTGCGCGGCTGCCGTGGAAATGGAAGGGGTGATCTGACCTGACTGCGCCTGTCAGGCTCTTCTGATCCCAAACCTTCACATTCTCAACTCTGCAACTCTGCAACTCTGTACAAACCGGTATCCTGACTCCAAATGTCCAGCTTAACGTGACTCAATCCATGTGCCACTAGCCCTCTCATCGTTAATCCCCATTGCATCTCGCGATTGCTGCGTTCAATCGACCGGTCGGCAGCATAAAGATCAAATCTCCTGCCCAGCGTCAGTTCCGTTGCTGCGCTTTGCCTCATTTACTCGACACGGTTCACATTGGTCGCTTGATTATTTGCTGCACACTGGCGGCACCCAATCAGTCACCTTGTCACCTCCGGCTTTTGATCGAGGAGACTCGCCCACCACGGCGGTGTCGAGATTTACCAACTCCTTCGACAACGACGACGAGCTCGATCACGAAGACAAGATTTACTTTGCTCCGCCGCCGCATTCTCCCAGGTCCGCAGCGTCATCCTCGAGTCCTCCGTCCCCGCGACCACCCCCCTTCTCCTCTCTCTACTTCCCTACCGACGCCGAGCTCGATCGTATCAGAGCAACTGTCACCGAGACTCATTGCGACTCGCTTCTAGCCTCTGCCCCGGCACCCTCCTTTGAGGAGGCTCTCGCCGTAGACGAACCCGGGACCAAGGCAGAGCGCGAGACAAAAGCTGCCCTTCCACAAGATACCAAGGCTCAGTCTTCTTCGGGCAAAGCCGTTGACGACGCAGAGCCCCCGCCTCCCTATACTGAAGGTTCTAGTCCTCTAGAGTCTTTCACATACCTCATGGCGGCAGCAGGCGGTGCGGCCAGTATCATCACACAGGTTCAGCAAACAGGTCCACCAATCAACACTCTAGGAGGTGAGTGGCAAAGCCATTGAGAAAGGTTTAAAGATGGTCAAGACTGACTTGGTCGGCATATAGCAGGGGAAGCAGCAGCTGATGAACACATCACGTTGAGCTTGAGGTTGGTTCTCCCCCTACACAACTGATAGACACCGGACAGAAGACTGACAATTGGATAGAGGAACGCACTTCACACTCTCCCGTGATGAACTGTTGACCCTTCCCGAATTCGTGTTGCTATCATTATTCCCCAACGGTCTCCTCCCCGATGGCCATATGAACTCGTTTCATGAAGGCGATGTCTATCCCGTTGACGTATGTCTCACTCAAAGTCCCCATCCCATCACTGTTCTGAGTAATCCTTGTATCTATATCGGAGATGTAACATATTCTTCACAGTATGACCCCGCCTCCCTTCAGTATATGTTAAACTTTTTCCGAGATGTGGCTCAATCAATACCCTCCACATCTCCCTCCCCGACCACCCCACCAGAGCATGATCCCATATCGATCGAGCCATTACAAGGTTCGACCAAAGATATGCTCCAAGATCGGGCCGGGATTATTGTCTTGAGAGAAGATCTTGACTTCTACGTCATTCCTCCTCGAGCAGACATTGAGCAGCCGGAAATGACAGAAATCAAACGTGCTGCGGGGAAATCCCTACTCAAGCAAGACGGAATTTTCTCCGGTCTAAAGCGGAGTGAAGAAGCAGGGACTACGGAGCAGCATTTGATTGAAATGCTTACCGCAGGGTATGTTCCCTAAATGGCCAGCTTAGGGCAATGAACTGATGCATGTAGCGGTTTTAATCACGATGATGCCTGGGGCCATCGAGCAGGAGAGCCAAACAAGGCCGTCATTTGCAGCTTGGCTCTTGCAAGACTGCGGACTGATATCAAAGGAGATCTGGCAGGGAGCAACGTTGTGGGCATGGCTCAAAAACTACTCCTCTTCTGGCGAAAACCTGCCCGGCGATGCTGGTGGGAGGGCGTTGAGCTCATGGATGTGGATGGAGTCGAGGGTAAACTCAAAGTGTGGATTCGACGAGTGTGGACCCTCGAGATGGTGAGCATCCTTGCGCACGGCTGACATGGCGTTGTACTGATGTTCCATCCAGAGCGTTATCGGTCTCCGGTGACAGCAGTGCCCATATTCTCCCTTTGCAGTTTTGGTGTTTTGCATTGAGCGCTTATTCGAACAAGAAGTTCACTTTCGGGATATCCATATGTTTGGGACTATGGGAGTATGGAAAAGGTGAATGTGGATTCAGCAATCAGAGATTTCTTGCAAACAGCTGGGCGAGGTACGAGGCAATCAAGATATGGTGTCCTCTTCACTGTGTCAGTCACTCGGTCTCCTTAGCCGAGTTGAGGCCCACGGTAGTCATTAGCGACTTGGGGTAATTAAAAAACATTGTGTACATGCATCTGCAAGGCTGAGAATCGAACAGCGGACCTCTTCCACGCAGCAGCCAAAAAAAGTCTAGTCAGCTTCGGTATTTCTAGTTTACCTTCCCCATTTCTCTTGTCGGTGCTGCGGCTCCTGCCTCTTCCCGGTGGAGAGCGTTATCGAGCAATCTTACAACAGCCACAAGGTACACTGGAAGACATGAGCGAGATACCCCTACCACAAACTCATGTCATTTAGAAGGCCCCTCCCACCTAACCCACTAGACTTTTTCTTCACGTAACCCCCCAAGGACTCGAAAGTTGAGGGGTCTCCCAAGTGCTGGTTCAACTTCTTGTGTTGTTCTTGTTTGTTCAGTGAGAACCTGGGGGGTTTATGTTGACAGAAATTTAGCAGATTGAATTATAGCTCCTAAATTGTTCCTCTTTGGTGATAGTGGAGTGGGGCGGTAGTGAATTTCTCTCATGTGCTCGCGCCATCTACTAAGATATCTAACGAGTATATCACTTCAGCCTCGTCATGTTAAAAGTGGGTCTTACGCCATGCAAGGCTGAGGTGACGGAAGAGATTAGAGCCTTGGCATTTCTAAGGCGATGGCTTGGCACTAGACCCTACTCGGAAAGGGACTGAAAGTCGCGACTGCGAACATTTCTCGAAGCCGCCAAGTTGCTGTGCACTTGCGACACGCTTCGAGCCATTTCTTCCATAGTGTTTGACAATTGTGCCGCGTGGAGCGGGCTCTTCTGACCTTCCTTGCTACCGATCATGTCATAGTGTTGTGTCACTTGTCTTGCTCACCGCGATGAACCATGGCACCCGCGCAAGCATATGTGTCCAGCTACCCCCCGCGAATTCGCCAATACACCAATACTCTCCTTCAACCCGTTCTCCAGACCCAAAATGTCGCCCCAGGCGGTCGCACCACCAAACGAGGGACAACGATAATCAACTACGCAGATGATGCCTACGATGAGGACGACTTTGAAGACAGCGAAGGTCCCCGGCGACCGACGGGTTTGCGATCGTTGCGACGGGAGGAACTTGAGAAAAAGGAGCCGCAGCATGACAAGGTGGGCAAGGAAATACATGAGCCCGTGGATTTGCAACCCATATACCGAGACTGGATGATCAGGAGGACAGTTAGGCCTACGTCAGTACCCTCTTTTCGAGTTTTGCGCGTCATCGTTATTGACGAAGTTGTGTCGAACAGGACAGATTCCCAGGTGCATATTCAATCGCAACTCCCACTGACCCTTATACCCATACGTATCGATCTCGATGTACCTGCCCACCAGCCCGAAGCTCCTTTTCCTCTGCCACGCGCGGGGGCCGATATTGGAGTCAACCCTTCGATGCCAATGTTCAAGAAACCTGAACAATTGCCGGGCTACAAGATACGCGATATCTTTTTGTGGAATCTACACGAGAACCTACTTACCCCGGATGACTTTGCTTTGTGCTTTGTTCGCGAGCTCGACCTACCTAACCAAACAGGCCTTGCGATGAACGTCAGTCAACAAATACGAACTCAGCTTGAGGATTACGCCGGTGTAGCCATGCATCCACTCTTCCACACCCAGCAAAAGAGATCGCAAATGCCCGACACAAATTCCGCTCCCACGCCGTCGGCTTTCGTCAACGGAAGCTCACGTGGCGGCACACCCCGGCCACTCCTTGGAGCGTCAATATCTCGTCCAGCCTCTACAACACCTGGGACCCCTGCTGCTTCAACTCCCCATCCTATTACATTGACCAACGGCGCATCTATAACGGCACTTGCTTCTCCGCTGCCACCGGAACCACAAACTGAGCAGCAGGATGACTCTGAAGATCCATATCTCAATCCTGACGACACTTACCGCTGTATAATCACGCTCTCGATTTATCTTTCTTCAAAGCTCTACCAAGACAAATTTGAATGGTCGTTGCTGCATCCGCCCGGTGCTGCGGAGGCATTTGCAAGACAGACTTGTGCGGACATGGGATTGGGCGGCGAATGGGTCATGGCCATCACCCACGCAATTTACGAAGCAGTTTTGCGATTGAAAAAGGAGGCCTGCGAAGGTGGCATGCTCATGATTGGTGGAAATCCCTTAGGCGAAATCGACAATCAAGCTGTCCGAGCTGAGGAAGGCGCCGGGTGGCGATACGACATTGACGATTTTGGTGCCGAATGGGAACCGAAATTCGAGGCCTTGAGCAAAGAAGAGATTGAGAAGAGAGAGGGTGATAGAGAACGACAGCTGAGGAGATTGCGAAGAGAGACTGCCAAATTCAGCTCAACGGCTGGAATGGTCCTCTCCGCTCGAGAACAGGAAGCACAGCAACGAGGAAGTTATTTTGATTACACCACCATCGGCAGCACTGGTACAGGGGAGGAAACGCCACTGATGGGCCGTGGGGAGAGAAGTAAGAAGAAACGGCGGTTCAGATCGCTCTCTCCTGTGGCCAAGGCGCAGACCCCGGACGCTACTGGAAGTTCTGCTGGTGCGGGATGGGGAGGCGAAGGTAATCGATTGCAGGAGTACGAGAGACAGAATTGGAGGTGTAAACATTGCCTTATTTGGGGCAGTGCCGTGTGGGCGGTGCGGGATGGACCTATGGGCCCCAGGGTGAGTTCCGCCTTTCTTTCTGTCCCTATGGCTTTTTGCTTTGCTTTCCACCCGTGGCACTGAGAGACCCTTGGATTTTATTGTGGGGGTAGACTATGCTAACTGGTGGTGTTTGTGAGCAGACGCTGTGCAATAGTTGTGGCTTGATCTACGAGCGAGACAAGAAATTGCCCGTGTGGAACGCAGGGTTGCATAAGCATACCTTGTACCTCGGACGGTAATCAGTCAGCACCTGTTCTCTATGGGAAGTGAGCACGGAGTCGAGACGCCATGTTTTGTCCTTTCTCTCATCTCGTGAGGCGCGGTCGGGTTCTCACGGTGGTCATGCATTATAACTTTGGAGCTGGCTAGGGGTGAATCGAAACTCTGGTCACAAAAGGGATGACCGTTGGGGCTACTTGTATCAGAGCAGGACGGCGTCTCATTCGGGTCGGATTGGGTTCCAGGGGCAAATATCCCAGATGGGCATGTGCTGCTTGTGCCTAGCGCTGGAAAAGAAGTGTAGAACTACCCCAGATTCTTTGATGGATGCCATTTTATTGCGAGATATAGTGTCTTGTGGGGCGACACCTGCATCAATCGAAGACAGAAACAGCTTTTAACAAACAACCAAAAGAAACATGTTGCTGGATATACAGAGCCGCCAGTACATATCACAGTACGGAGGATCAACGTGGGTATTTACACGGCAGTGGCAGTGTGCTAAGGATGTGAGAGAAGATGGTGGAGCGGGATGTCACGAAGCGGAACGGACGAGGCTGGCGAGACGGACGAGGCTGAACTGCGCATTTGGAGTCCTCGATCAAATACCAGTAGTTGACAGATCACGAACTTGTTCAACACCAACTTCAAGGTCCTCACGACTCCACACCTCGTTCTTCGCACCCTCAGCACCTGCCTACCTGTATCGCGACTCCTTAGATATGCGGTAGTGCTTCCTTTTCTGATCTTTTCGTTTGCACCTTTTCCTCACTGCGTCCTAGAAGTCCCCTCCTGAGGGGAGTTGACGTGGAAATGGTATGTTCGACTCCTTCGTCAGTTAGTCGCGCAAAACCGTGTTCAAGCGCCAACAACTGGACTGCTTCTGTTGGCCCTGCGTTTCCGTCCCTGAGATTGTAAGGTTGCCATGGCTAACCTCGCACTGCGAAAACAGGCACAAGTCATTGCGAACTCGGGCCACGAGGATATGATCGTACGTTCTCCTCGCCATCTTAGTCTCGCTTTCCTATGCCTCAGCCCCCCAGGAGATAAATTGCCTTTACGGCGACTATACCGGGGGGTTTTCTGGATCGCTCGTGGAAGAGAACTAAAGAACGAGGTGGCTAACTCGAGCATCACGGGTTCTTACAGCACGATGCAGTCCTCGATTACTATGGCCGACGACTAGCAACATGTTCGAGCGACAAGACAATCAAGATCTTTGAAATCGAAGGCGATCAGCACCGGTTAACAGAGACGTTGAAAGGGTAGCGTTGCCCTTCTTTTCCGCTATTCAAGTCTTGTAACTAACATGGAGTGCCGTGTATACAGCCACGAAGGCGCCGTCTGGTGCGTCTCATGGGCCCATCCCAAGTTCGGCACCTTACTCGCCTCCTCCTCCTACGATGGCCGCGTGCACATCTACCGTGAAACCCCCTCACAGCAGGCTCAACCGGGTCAACAATCGCAGTCCTCATGGACCCGGGTATTTACGAGCACATTCCACACCGCCTCGGTCAACATGGTCTCCTGGTCACCACCAGACCTAGGCTGTCTGTTGGCATGCGCATCCTCTGACGGCAACGTCTCCGTCCTCGAGTTCCGCGACAACCAGTGGGGCCACATCATCTTCGGTGCGCACCCCATGGGTGTGAATGCGGTGAGTTGGGCGCCCTCCGCCGTTCCAGGTGCGATCGCACGAAAAGACTCTGGCAACGCTGGGAGTGGAGGCCTGGTCAAGCGATTCGTCACGGGCGGAAGTGATAATAGTGTTAAGCTATGGGAATTCAACCCGCAGACCAATACCTACGACAACGTGTTGGTGTTGCCAAACGGACACACCGACTGGGTCCGCGACGTCGCTTGGTCGCCCACCCTGCTCAGCAAGTCGTACATCGCCAGCGCGAGCCAAGACAAGACCGTCAAGATTTGGACGTGCACGAACATGGGCTCGGGCGCGGGCAATGTGGGCGACTGGACGCTGGCGAAGACGCTGGACTTTGACGCCGTCACCTGGCGCGTGAGCTGGAGTCTTAGCGGGAACGTCCTTGCAGTGTCGGGAGGCGACAATAAAGTGACGCTGTGGAAGGAGGACTTGAAAGGGAACTGGGAGATGGTCAGGGAGGTTACGGAGTAGGAAAAGATCTGCGAGTGGCCCGAGTCACGATGATGGATGATGTTGTTGTTCGGCCAGATGAACGGCAAAACTGTCCCTGGTGGTCCAGAGATATTCCGGCGGCTTCGCGACGAGCATTGATACGCCAAGTAAATAGGCGTGAAAAGGTAAAAGGTTTTGAAAGAGATCAATAGGCCATTGAAAGCTATCGCAAGGCGCAAGTGCTTGCATTGTCCGTCATGAGTGCCATCTTCCCCAGGACCGGCGCCGAGACCAGGGAGGGAAGGGATCGGGATATTGATTGAGGGGAGTTACTAATTTGCATGTAACTGACAGCGTTGTTTCCCGTTTCCTACCGGCGCAGCGAATAGCCCTTCCAGTCCTTCTCGACCCTCCTCTTGCCCTCGAAGTCGCCTTTCCACCCCTGAGCCTCAATGGTGGGCCTGGTCCTAACGGTCTCCAGCTCTCGCACTTTGGCATTCGCATCTTGAATCCTCCTTGTACACGTGCCTCTCCCCAGTATTTCCAACGTCTCAGCAATCCCGGGACCTTGTCTGCCGCCGAGGAGTGCCCAGCGGAGGTAGTGGTACAGTTCCCTTTTCCAGGCTCTTGTTGTTGCGTCGTCGACGGCCTTGTCTGGAGGAGGGCGGGTCGCTTCTTCTAGAGACCGGAGGTGCGCGTGGAGGATGTCTCTGGTCCATGATTTCTCGGGGATTAAAGCGAGAGTCGATGCTGCGACGCGGAGAGGGTGGAGGAATCCGACATCGCCGACTTCCAAGTCGCCCAACGTCACTGGCTCGAAGAACAAAGAACACTGTTCGGTGAATTGAGATGGCGTGCGGAAGTGCAGGGACTCAACCTTCAGTAACTGGGCGAGGACATCTCTCAATTGCCTTTTCCGCGATCCGGTGTCTAGAAACTGCATGACTCTCCCAGCGCCGTATTTCTCGAGAACAGCAACAGCCACATCACGAATCATTTGCTCAAAGTGCTCTCCTCCGACCAGCACACGCCGGCGAGCATGTTGTTCCTGTAGGAAATGCAATTTGTCGAACGAGACAATGGTATTCCCCTTTGTGATCTTCAGATTGAAGAGGGATTCGAGTTGAGGGAGGTCCATGACATCTCGTTTCTGAGTGTGGGACCATCCCAAGAGCGCCGCGAAATTGACTAGTGTTTCCGGGAAGATCCCTTGGTTGCGGAACTGTGAGATATCCGAGTTGAAGTTCCTCTTGCTTAGTTTTTGTTTATTGCTGTCGACTAGAAGTGGGACATGAGCATAAGCCGGTGGCGTCCAGTCCAGCGAATTATACAGCGCGACGTGCAAAGGCGTCGAAGCCATCCATTCCGACCCGCGAACGACGTGAGTGATGTGCATGTCATGGTCGTCGCATACGTTTGCCCAATGGTACGTCGGGAATCCGTCGGATTTCATCAGGATCGCATCCTCATACACCGGTTCATCAACCAGTAGTCTTTTGGTCTTGTCGGCTCCGTGGCCTTGGGATTTGCCGTACACAAGGTCATTGTAACGAGGCCATTCTTGCGGAGAGAGGAAACGGATAACGTGTGCTTCGCCGCGATGGGCTCTGTCTTCTGCCTGGGACGGGGAGATGCTGTTTAGGCACTTGCGATCGTAACCCAAGCTCAATCCCTTTTCGTGACGACGGCGGTTGAGCTCATCGAGACGGTCCGACGAGCAGAAGCAGCGGTACGCTTGTCCCGTTTGTAGAAGTGTGTCGATGTGTGTCTTGTACCATGCAAGTCTTTCAGATTGTCGGTATGGGCCATAAGGGCCTCCTACTTCCGGACCCTCGTCCCACTGCAGCCCTGCCCATCTTAGATCTCTGTACAATTGTTCTTCGGCACCGGGGATCGTTCTCTTTGCATCGGTGTCTTCAATTCGAAGGAGGAACTGGCCGTTTGTCGCTCGGGCGAGGAGATAGTTGAACAATGCAGTGCGGATAGAGCCCAGGTGTAGGTTGCCCGTAGGAGAGGGAGCGAACCGAGTTCGAGCTGGAGTTGAAGGAAGCTTTCCTCGTCTCTGGGTAGAATTCGTGCTGCTCGAGGAAGACGACGACGCGGTAGTTGAGGCGTTGCGAGTCGGGACAAGCGAATGTACCTTTTTTGCCGCACTTTGACGGGCACGACATGAACTGCACACCCATCTAGGAACGCGGGCAGCGGGCGTCGCCCTCATGTGCAATGACGGGAAATGTCTCCGGTGATGGAAAGGATGCAAGATGTGGTAATCAAGAAAAATTCCTGGCCCTCGAAAGCACCAGAATATTCACGCAGCGGCCAGTAGGAAAAGAGGGAGCATTTGAACCATTCCAATGCTTCTATTCCTCCGCCGTCGGTGTCAATCTGGTAATCGTCAGGTATCCATCGAGCCATGCACATGCAGCCCTATAGCTCCTAGAGGATGCTCGAGCGTGCCACTGGATTGCTGAAGTTTAGGCCCCATTTTCATTTTCATACTCACTAGTCGAGAGTGACAAAATCCTCTCCACTCATCTTCACCCTCAGCAGAACTTGTCGATCAACACCTACTAGTCATCCGCTGGCTGCCTTGAACGATCTGTTGTTGATTTTTCTCCCCCAGTTCTGAATTGCAATATTCTCGGCCTCGTAAACATATCCCTGAAGACACACGTCTTCCCAGCAGATCTGAATCATGAACGGCGACACAGCAGGCAACGTCCCAGAGATCGATCTCTACGAGATCCTCGGCGTACCGAGGGACGCCTCGCAAGCCGATATCCGCAAAGCATACAGAAAAGCGGCCCTTGCCAGTCACCCCGATAAAGTGCCTGCCGAACAAAGAGAAGAGGCAGAAGCCAAATTCAAGGCCGCCTCCCAAGCCTACGAAATCCTTTACGATGACGAGAAGAGACATCTCTACGA